GAGAGGAAAAACAGAAGAAGAACTACTGCAGATAACACTGAAAATGGTAGGTGAAATGATACCTCTTGCATTTAAATGACCTCTCAGACCTTTTCATCCCAAAGAATACTCTTTGTGGGATTTAATGTTTGGAGAACCTGAAGTGGATGTAAAATCTGACTTTCTTGACTTTTTCAGGACATGACAGCACTGCAGATCTGCAATGACAACTCGCCTGAAAAGTGCAAACAGGTTCCTGTCCTTCCATTCAGCATGCACTTGGAGCTACCTGTGGTTTGCTACAGTGCTCTACCAGGGCAAGGAAAATAAATGGCACAGAAATCCAGGGGGACCTGAAATCAAATAATACATTATGTCCTGCTTAAAAGTTCTTATCACAATGCTTATGTGCCTTTGAAACTTCAATACAGAAATTATTTTTGTACCACTGTTCCACACATCCATGGCCATATTGAACCAAGAAAACATGTAAATTCAACATAATGATTTCTGCTTCACAAACATCAGAAATATCTTCACAGTTTTCAGCCTCGTGCAGAAAATCAGTAAGAAAAAAAAACTGAGATGGCTTGGACACCATTACTTTTTGTATTTTCATTAGGCTTCACTTTGGAACTGCAGTAAAAATCTGAACTTCTTTTAGAAGCAAATAGCATGCATTAATGAAGCTTTCTTTTTTCCCTTTTTGTTCAGGATTTCTTTTTCATCAGTGCATGTGTAGATGGTGCCTTTTTTCCAAAGAGTCCCAGGGAATTACTGTCTGAAAAATCAATCAATGAGGTCCCATACATCATAGGAGTAAATAACTATGAATTTGGATGGGTGATTCCTATGGTAAGACATTAAGAAGGTTGTTATTTAAACATGATTTTGTAAATAGAGGCTGTTTTATTAAGTATGAATCTTTGTATCACACAGATGATGAAATATCCTCCTTTTGTGGATGGTCTGGATAAAGATGTTGCACGTCAAATTTTACAGAGCAACTTAGCAATATTCATTAAGGTAAGAGACCAGTTTCAGAATAACCCAGTGCTGCTGCTTTGCTGGTTGGGCTGTTTTTATCCCTGGAGGGACACATTTCACAGGAAAATGTCATTGTGCTGGACAGCTCCATGAACTGGGGCAGAAACAGGCACCGAGGTGCTGCATTCCTGTTACCTCTAGTGACTGGAAACACTCTCTACATTTCCAGCCTAAATGCCCCTCTTCTTCAAAAGGAGTTCTGTGGGAATCCAGGAGTGGTGCATGTACCTAAGCAAGGTTTCTTGGGACATTTCAGATACCCCCAGGTTATGCAAGACATGAGAGTTCCAGCAGGTGTGGCAGGAGACCCAGGGGACACAATCTCCTGAAGCAGTAGCTGGGCACTGGAGAGGAGGAAAGCCTGAGAGATTTGGGGTGCACTGACACCCTCATTCAGTTTCTCGAGGTTTTGCTTCCCTGTAATTTACAAATCTCTTGCCTTTCTGGTGCCTTTGTGCTCTCCTGAAACTACTGCATAGAAAAGTAGAGATGAAGAGGTAAGAATTAAGGACCCTAGAAGCAGGGCCAGTACTTGCCAGGACCTTCAATGACACAAATATCCGCCATGACCATGGAAATGCAGAGCCCAGGCGTGTTCTGCACAGGAGAAATTCTGGTCATCTACAACAATCAATGGATTTTATGAAATCCAGCAGGATTTCTGTGCTGTTATGAAGGCGTTTCCACAGAAGAGAGAACAATCAGCATCACTGGCTGCTGTTTATCTGAAGGCAGTTGAGCCTTTGATCTTGCATCCCTCTCTTCCCTGAGATCACCTGTATCCATAGCTGTGTAACCCCAATCTGAGCTCCCAGCCACACTCTGACACAGCTGGGGGTTTTCTCTGAAAGCTGTTGTTTGGGGATTTGCCAGGGATGTGCTGAGGCCACACTCACCCACTGCTGTTACTCCCTATAATATTCATCATCATTATAATGGTTTTTATTGCTGTTTCAGGGCCTGACGACTGAAGTTGTTGACAGAGTGTACAAGGAGTACATGGGGGATGCAGAAAGCCCTGCCCAGGTCCGAGATGGCCTCCTGGATGCAATGGGAGATGTCTACTTTGTCATCTCAGCTGTGGAAGTGGCCAGACACCACAGAGGTAAGCCAGCAGCTTCAGAACAGCTGTAGAATTCGATCTGGGGGGGCTGTGGACAGTGTGCAGCACTTCTCACTATCCAGAGAACTGGTAGTGTTTTTATTTAAGCAAAACGGTTTTTCATGAAAGTTTATCATCTTTGGAGCAGTATTTTCAGCTCTCAAAACAGCACTTTTCTGTATCCTCTAGATGCTGGCAACCCAGTCTACTTTTATGAATTTCAACATCGACCGAGTTCAGCGGAAGGTTTGGTACCAGAGTTTGTAAAAGCAGATCATGGAGCTGAGGTTGCCTTTGTCTTTGGAAAGCCATTCTTAGCTGGTGATGTACCCATAGTTACTCCATATTTCTTTTAGAACCTCATTATTACTCATTTCAATTACTGCAGGCCCTTAGAATAGAATTTCTCTCTTACAAGCATCAAAAACCTTTTACATACAATAAGCATACCTTATATATCATAAGCATCATTATGAGCATAAACATTTCCGTCTTCAGTAGTAGATACTTTTCATTACATCATTCATCTGCAGGTCTCTCCTAGAAAAACCTCCAAGTGCTCAGGGCAACCCAGGGAAGTGTTGCAATTGCTGTAGCTGATACTTATTTTTTAATTTCTAATGTGGCCCTTTCATCTCTCCTTTGCAGGAGGTGCTACAAAAGAAGAAAATGAGCTCAGCAGAACTGTTATGAGATACTGGACCAACTTTGCTAAAAATGGGTGAGAATCACTACGCTAATTACAGCTCAAGTTCAGCCTGTGCTGCCCAGAACATACTTACCTGCCTGAAGCAGTACTTGTATGGTGGTTCCTAGAAATTTGGCAGAATTTAAGATAAATATTGAAGCAATTTCTCTTCCTAATGGTCTTCTTAAAGCAACCTGCAGACACGAGGAAGAAAAAAATCTAAGAGCAGTTACTCCATCTGCAATGGAGTTTTAGATCTAAAATTAACGGCAACTATTACACTTTTGCTGTTCCACTGATGAGCATTTTCAAAAAATGCTGTCAATTTATTCAGGTACCAGAATCACATCATCTGGGCTCACCTGCTGGCTTTCTGAAATGCTCTGAACCTGAGCAGTCAGAGAGCAATGGATTGGCAAGTGGAGAGCTAACTTTTCCTCCTATTATTTCCAGAAATCCCAACGGAGAGGGCTTGGTCCATTGGCCTCAGTATGACCTGAAGGAAAAATACCTGGGAATAGACCTGGAGCAAAAGGCAGCAGAGAAACTGAAAGAGCGCAGAGTGGAATTTTGGGCACAGCTCAGGAAACAAAGTCAAACTGGAAGGAGAAAACACACAGATTTATAAGATCTATGGATGCTACAGTTTGCTTTAACACACAAAGGAAAGTCAAAGAAAATGAGTTTGACAGCATACAGAGTAATAATCACCTTCTAACTCACTGTTGTGTAATCTGCTAGCAAAAAAAACCCCACAATCTTTCCATGTCCAGACAAACCATGGTACCTACTCAGTGCATATCAAAACTGAATACTGAGGTGGGAATGGGCAAATGAACTGAAATCTATAGGAAATGATCAATACAGAATATACCCTAAGTGTCAGACTGTTTTATAAGCTTATGCCCTTCTTCTTGCAGAAGAGCATGTTCAGTTGTCCTTCCTAGAGACTCTTTCTGCTTTCTTTAACTGGAATTAGCTTGTAGGCAGCAGAGAAGAGCATCCCTCACATTACACCTGTGGGGCGGGCTTGACACCTCGCAAAAGAGGACAGAAAATCTCTACCTGTTTTATTGCTTTTTGATTGTTATAAATAAATGTTGCTTTGATTTTTTGGAACTACCTTTTCTTTCACTTAACTGACAGAGGCCAATTGCGAGGTCAAGTCACAGGCGAGAAGCCAGAAACGTGCCCAGGTTCTTTCTTCCGCCTAAATGGTTTCAGGTACAGATCTTTTCAGGTTTCTGTGCAGGATCTGAGGCTTATGGCTCTTTCACAAACTCTTCTGGGGTGTGACTTGTGTGTCCTTCTACCCTTCCTGGCAAATGCCCACTCCAGTGGCTGCAGGAGGATGCAGTGCTGGCAGGACAGATGCCCACGGAGGCAGAGGGGGGAGCAAAGGCTGCAGGTGCTCCCTGCACGTTGCTGGCCCAGCACCACCAGAGAGAAGATCTGCTGACATGCAGAGTGTGACCCCCAGCCTCCCACAGCTGGGGAAGGGGTCAGGGCACACAAGGAGGGCAGTGCCTTTTTTGCCAAGTTCCATGGCAAGCAGGATACAAAGGAACAATGTAGGAAGGCAGGAGAGCTCTCCTCATGACCATAAACAAACAAGCAAACAGCCCTACTCCAACCACCCCTTCAACTGGTGCCCAGCTCCCACATCCCACAGCACCCTGGGGCTCTCACAGGGACAGCCCAAGCTCCTGCTGCAGGTGTTGACTCCTTTGGAGGTGTCTTCTTCCTCCTCACCTCTGGGTGCACTTGCTTTTGTACACCTGTGGATCTCAAGCAGTGCCATCTGCACTACCTGGCCATCCCTTTTTGTGCATTTTCCATACCTTGTGAAGAACACCAGTTGTGGCAATTAGTAACAGCTAACTGCAGCAACCATGCTGCTAGTTCTGTCACACATTTCTTACCCCTTCCCTTGTTTTGGTCTGACACAGCCTTTATGTCCATTAGTGGTGTGTTTGTTGAATCAATGTGTCTGTCCCTGTACATTCACAAAAATCATTATCCTAACAAGACAGAAGAAACAAAGAGGGAGATTTAATCTGTGAAACAGAGAGTCCAACAAGCTCTTAGTGATGTCCAGGTGTTAGAAATACAAATTCCTGGTCAGCAGAATTGCCTTGTTAAGGTTTGGGGCTGGACGTGTTCCGATGGTCTCAGCCCCGCGGGAGGTGAACAATGCTGCGTGTGCCTCCCTTGAGCTGCTTGGCCTAAAGGAAGCTGTGAGCAGCAAGGTGGAGTGTGCACGCCAGCTCCAGCAGCTCTGTGGCATTGGAGTCCCTGGCTTGATAGACAGGGACCTTCACTTGTCACGTTCCATCTGGGGCTGAAGGCATCTCAGTTCTCAGGAGCTGGGCTGTGGGAGGATCAGACCCATGAGCCGTCTACACCTGGGAGTTTTGAACTCTCTATATAAGAAAGCTTCGAACAATAAAGCACACAGTTTGTCACATGGAGCCTTGGGGTGGGTGTGGGTGTGGGAGTGCCATCCCTGTCTCCAAGCACCAACCCCACAGAACATGTGGATTCCAGTGTAACACAGCTCCACCTGTCTGAGCCTGCCAAT